TATGTTTGGATACATATGGATTTGGATTTTAGCCAAATTTATGTTTGGATAATTAAAAATATAGAGATTTGAATTTGACCCAAATCGAAATTTAAGTTCTACCTCAATCTCTTTATCATTTAAAATCTTTTCTAAATTTCTCTTATTTCAAATCTTAACTCAATCTCTTTTATAATTTGATCCAAATCCACGAAGGCTTGATTGGCCTGCTAACAATAATTGGACCAAAACCACCAAAGTTGACAGAACCAAGTTGTTATTGTTGACGAAACCAGACCACTATGTTGACTGAGATTGCCACCATCAGTCCACATCGAAACCAAATGGCTAACTTGATTGGGACCGAACCACTCGCGTTGTTAGTGACTGGGAGTGCACACAACAATTCAGACTAGATGGCTGACTTCTATAGAGACTGAACTGTCAGCACTGACTTGGACTGAATAGCTGACTTCTATCGAGATTAGACAATTGATGATGACCCATATAAGCCCCTTGACTTCCATCGAGCTGACTTCCACTAGGACAGCACCCCAACGATAACCAAGACCGAATGACCAACTTCCGTGGGATTATCAAAATGCTATCATATATATATTATATATATTGAGAGCTTTGTTCTAGGAAATGTTTTCTTATTATGCTTTGATTATTCCATTTGTTGCGGTTGTGTTCGTTAGGATGCTTGTTGCTATTGTGATCTTAGGGTTTGTTTCATGCAATATTTTCTAATTATACTTTGATATCACACTTGTTGCTATCATGTTCTAGGCAATATTTTCTAATAATTATCTCCATATGCTTTAGCATTTTATGAAATTCATTAAATTAGGTTAAACTAATTAATCAAGCAGGGTTTTTTTTTTCCTAAACATGTTTTCAAAACAAATTTTACAGGAAAATTTTTATTATTTTTTAACTTCAACTGTTTTCATTTTAATATTACTCTATATATATATATGAAAAATCTTTGTGCCTACCTAACTTGTTTCTTTTGTAGTTAGTTCGAGGATGCCAAGCTTAACTTTGCATATGATGATCTTCTCAACATTCATTATGCAAAATGAAGAAACAAAAGTTAATCTATTCGGCTAAAAATATCCAAGTTGCATGTATGATAGCTAAATAGAGAATGTGTTTTAAGTACTAACAAGCAATGGTCCTAATGAAATGGGCTATAACCGCTAAAGTGTGAGGTCTTAGATTCTAATCCATGAATGCACAAAATGTTTTTGAAAGAGTTATCCTCAATTGAGCTTGAGAACACATGAATTTAATTTGATTCAATTAGATAGCTATATCAAAGAAAAAGAAAGTTTTCTAAGAAGGTAATGACATAATATCATAATTTTTGAGTGAGTTATGACATAATATAGCTGCGTGAAGATTGCATTTAAATTAATATTATTTCATACAAGCTTCTTTATAAAACAATTCAACAAGTTTGGGAGTTTGCCAAACTTGATAATGACAGCTTGTGTTTCAAGTACTGGCACCCTTAGTTAGTTAGTTGGTTAGTTATGTTGAGTTAAAAAAAAAAAACAATTGTAGATCTTAAGAACAAAAATATGAGGTATTTTAAAATACTTCTTTTTTAATTTAAAACTATTTACATAAGAATAATATGCAAACAAAAGACCACAGCGCAAATAAAATACTTGAAAACAAACACTTAGATATAAAAAAAATGCACCTAGAAGAAGAATTAGGGTCAAGAATTACTTCTTTCGATCCTAATTATACGGTAAAGTTTTAAAATTTAATTTAGTCATAAATATAGAAAAATTTTGTAGTTATTTTTTATTTTTAATACTGTCCCTCCTTAATTAACCATTAAACTAAGTTGTTGAAAAACTTTAAATTTCTTTATATTATTTAAATTAGCTGCTTAGAAGAAGTATAACTCACATATAGGATAGCTAGTGGCCGATCCAGTACCTTAAGTCATGGAATGCGGTGTATTTTTTTAAAATTAAAAGCTCAAATAATAATTTAAAATTAAAATTACATATTTTATAATTATTCTCTACTTGATTTTTTGCCTTGTTAACTTTAGAAAATAAATAAAAATAGCAGATAGACATGTGTTTTAAATAAAATTATTGTTCTGCATATCAACAATAAAAGTCTAAAATTGATTACCAAATATTATTGAATAGGTTTAAATGTATATTAAAATGATTTTAAATTTATAGGGGTGCAAAATCTTGTGACTAGATAGTTAAAATATCAAAATTTATACTAGTTTCATGTATTTTCCCCCCCAAAATAAGGCCAGTGGGCTGGCATTTCTATCATTCTTTTTTATCGATTCTCTTTTATATCGTAGGTGATCGATTTGGACAAGGGACTTAGTGTATAATATCTTTTCATAATTTCATGGTTTTTCATAGACTTTGTTTAACGCACAGCTCTATGAAACTTCTATATATTAAGGTAGCGTATTGACCTATGGTTATGAGTTAAGTAATTTGTACTGGGTTTGACATTCAGGCTGTACGAATTAAATCATGAATGAAGCTGGCTAGTAAATATATCATGGTAATATATAAAGTCCTACATCGTTTATATACTAAAGTAAATTAATGTATATGAAGTTGGGGCTTTTACATAGGTAGTCCCTATTATAAGATTAAGTAAAAGAAAAATAGCCTATCTTTTCTTAAATTTCAAAAATAGTCTTTTTAATATTTAGATTACAATTAATTTACAAAACTGTCATTTTTAATATTTCTTTTTTAAATACCAAGATATTCAAAATGCAATAAATCTTTGGAATGAAAGACAAATGCAAGAGAAAAGACAGAACTTGACATGAAAGAGACAAGCGAAAGATAGCAAAACAATGTGAGTGAGCCATAGTCACGACAGCGAGAGAAAAATGCAAGGTGAGATACATCGACGGTACTTGATGGAACGGAGCACATTGGCGGGAAACGGATCTACAGATTTATGATTTTTTATTTGATTAGTTTAGGTATTTGATTTTATGTTATAAGCTAAGAGTCCAAAATTTTTTGTGGACTATGTTTAATTTGTCTTGGGCAAATGATTATGTATTTTTTGTGTTACTGGTCTACGATACTACATTATTGATATATGACTATATATTAATATAAACAAGTTCATGTTTGATTGTCTGGTTATGTTGATCTACGATAGTATATCAGTGATATACTATTATATATCATTGATATATAAGTAATATATGAAAAAACTTACCAATTTGTTTATCATTGATATGCAGCGTACATCAATGATATAATATCGTAGATTAGTAATAAAGTTTCCTCTTCTATGTCTAATGTCCTTTTTATAATATCTAGGAAAAAGACAGAGGGAGAGAGAGAAAAAGCTTTGCGATGAAGATGGTGATCCAGGCAAATTAGATAAAAAATTTGGTAAAGAAAAGTACTGTACGAGAGATGAATATAATCATTCAGGAAAATCAAATCAAATCAAAAAATCTAATGAAAAAAATATTTAAAGATGATAAATCAGAGAGGGAACACAAATTATAATTTGTGATGATAAAAATAAAAAATCCAATCAGTTAAAGATTAGTTAAATAAAATATATTTTATTTTAATAATAAATTTATTCTAAGGATAAAATAAAAAGCACATCTAATTGATTTTATGAATAGGTCATATTTCAAAATATTCAAAAACCTCATCCATAATTTATAGGAGTCGTATTTTTTGAGACTATTGAGCTAATTTTCTGTATAAAGTTTTAAAATTTAAAACAGATCACCCATTTATTAAAGTAAAAGGCATTATAATTATAATCTATAAGATGTAGGATCATCTTGAATTCTAATATAATCTGACTCTTGTAACTGCACGTTTTTCAACCGTTCTTTGTATTAAAAAAAAAAAAAGAGTAAAAGGCATCCTCATCAAGTCCCAAGGAAGACATGTGTGAACTTGAAAAACTTCAGAGTTATATAAAAATAAAAATTAAAATAAAACGAAATCCAGAAAGAGAAAACAGGCAAAATCAATCGAAAAATAATAAATATAATAAATTAAAGAAATACACAAAGGACCAAACGAGGTATTAGAATAGTGTACGGCTTTAACCATATAAATATTATATTATTTCATGTAATACCTCTTTTTAATTTAGAATCAGTAAAAGTAAAATAGTGTTGGTTTAAACCCCAAAGTAATTATTGAGAAATAAAGAGAAAACAGATAATAGACATAAAAATAACATGTGGCACCATATGCACTTAATTTTTTTTTTTGGTTTTTTTCCTTTTCATGCACTTAATTT